GGCGCCGCCCCCAGCCCCCGCCCTCCCGAGGGCTCCTGCAGCGGCCTGGGTGCGGGTCCCGGTGCCGGTCCCCGGATCCCCGCCAGCTCGCCGTACCCTAGATTTCGGCCCACTGGCTGTTTAAGGAGATGATGGCAAGGTTTAAGGAGATCTTTTTATGTCCCCGGCGAGCCTGAGATCGCTCACAGGCCAAAGGATGTACTGGAAGCCGTTCTCTTTATTGTTTTAAATACTTTATAAACAATGTCTTTTGAAATAAAAATACCGAAGGTACTTGGTTTTAAAAAGGAATCAGATTGTACTGACAGGATTATGAAGAAATGCAGTGAAAACCAGTGTCCCGCCCCTATGCAACTGTGTGTGTGTGGGGCGACCAGTTTTTTGTTCTAATTTGCTAAAGGGCCACTGCCCCCGCTATGGGGGAGGGGGGAGTGAGAAAACACACACACACACACACACACACACACACACACACGTACACCCACGCTCTGCAATCCCTTCTCTGTTTCTCCCTCTTTAAGGGTTTTGGGCAGGCAAGCACATGTGCCTGGAGTGTTTATGAAGCCAGGGTCCAAGTTTCACAGTCAGCCAGTGAGGTCCAGCTGCCTTCCCCACCACCCACCAGCTGGCCCAGAGGTGACCAGTTTTTAACTGTTGTTGTTGTTGTTTTTCTTTTCTTTTTTTTTTTTTTAATCTAGTAATTTTTCCATTAGGTTTGATTTCGAACATACTTTCCAACTGTGAGGTTCTAATGACCCCTTTTTTCCTTAGCCAGATTATCTCCAGTTTCCATTAAGTACAGGCTGGTGAGCGCAGTGGTTAGGACTGCCACCAGCATGTTGAGAACTGTGTGTCAAGAACCTCCTCACATTCTGGGGGTACCTATGGAGTCTCTTGGGCCAGGTCTCCTTGGCCACCAGGTTAGTCCTGAGCTAGAACCCAGCTACTGAGTACAGTCCACCCACCTGGCAAGTTCCACACCTCCGCTCTAGACTCACCCTTTCCTGGGGCCGGTATCTTAGCACTCTGAGTCCCCAGCGGAAGTCTGAGGAATTTTCTTACCCACAACTGAAACAAGGACCCTCCTACACTGGGGCCACCACATTCTTTCCCAAGAACAGCCTGATCACCTGTGAAAAGAGTCGTTTCATTGATTTTTAAAAATGTGCTGTGGATCCAGCAGGTGGCGTGGTGGTTAAGATGGACTCCCACAGGGATGACCACAGTCTGAGTCTTGGACCTGTGTCTTGCTTTCTTTCTTTCCCTCCCCCCCCTCGGTTTTTCTCTGGAGACTGCACATGTCCTATAGCAAGTTTAAAAATACGTACAATAATAATGAATAAAATTAAATAAAAATAATTCTTTTTTTAAAACGTGTGTATATACATGACGGAAAAGGATTGTGGCATGCATGACCACAGCCCATTAGGGGGTGCTTTCCCTCTTTTTCCACTCTCTGACAACAAGCACATGCACATTCTAGCAAAAACAAACATTCTAAAATTCTCCTTTTCTTTCAAGTTTGCAGCATAAATGCTTTTCATTTCTAGCAGCTAGTTCATTGCTGGTTATGTCCCATGAGAGCCAAGAAAGGTAATGGGAGATCAAAGAAAAACTACTCCCCAACCTGAGAAAGTACGCAGGAGAGAGCCCCTGGGAGAAGGTAACAGCCAAATCGTTACTTTAAAGCAGAGCAGGGGAAGACAAGGCTTCCTAGCCATCTTAGCATGCAGAAGAGGGCGTGTGAAAAATAAAATACAGAGATAACCGTCATGGTGATGTCTATGAATTTTATCCTTACATCATTTTGGTACTTTAGACGCCTTTTCCATTAGTATGTGTCTGTCTATCATTAGTTAAAGCGAACTAAAGAAAATTTAAAGTACATATATGTTGCCTTAAGTAATAGTCCTGTAAGTATTGAGAAGTAACTGCTGTGTATAGCTGTATATTTTTTCTTGCTCTGTATGTGTATACAGAAATGATTTTTTCCTTATGATTCTCAGACCTTTATACATTTTTCTATAGTGAGTATGCATTTCTTTTTCAAGTTAATAGAAATAAACAATGATCCTTCATGAAACCACCATAATGACTGACAGGCAAAGACCTCAACAGTTGCTAGGCGCAGTGATGAAAGGTTCCTGTGAATAGGATAGGCACGAAGCCTCACCCTACAGATTGCTTCCTTAATTACAAAGAAAACTGGGTTTCTTTCTTAAATATATTATTATTATTTTTAATTTACTGTAGGGCGTGTATGCTCACCAGAGAGAAACAGACAGAGAGAGAAAGTGAGAAAGCGCGCCTCCAGTTCTGAGACTCAAACCACGGTCGGCCACATGGGAGTCCAGCACCTCAACCATCATGCCACCTCCTGGCCCAGAAAAGTGGGTTTCTCTATAAGGGTGAAATCTTTCCTAAAGATAGCAGCTTAATCAGTAATCCCACTGATATCTTTAAAAATGAA